TATATGGTAAAAAAAAAAATTACTCAAGGTGAACTGGCTAATGAATGCAGGCCAGATGTGAACTCTTGACTCCCAAGAGTTCTACTAATGTCATAATATGGGAGAAAATGGATGTGTATCACCTGGTTTTTTCGCCTCTTATCACAGAGGTGCACCAACCAGCGCCGCTCTCCGATTACATTACCTTTCCACGAGGGAGAGGGAAAGAGACGGCCTTTCCCTGCATTGAATTTATGACTGTTACCTAAATACAGCACTACGATATGAGGGAAGCCATAAAGCGAACACCTCCTTCTTGACTTCTGGATGATCCCCCAAACGATTAATCCCTTCCCCTCCTCTCAGAAGCTTTCTCATGACCCTGATTTAGAAGGGGCTTTCTTTGTGACATCCGAGCTGTTGTGGGAGGACAACTCTATCATGGACGTCTTTCTTAGCCGGGATGTTTACATAATGTTTCTGTTGAGAAACGACCATTGGGTAAATCTTCATTCAGGGAAAGAGGCTTTCTGTGAGTTCAGAAGGAGGGGGATTTGCTATGATTGATGCTGGTGTTCAGCAAAAGACCAAACCTAATATTCCGAACTCCGCCAGCTTTTTTCTTCCCATTTTTGGTGCTGAGGACCGAATCATGATTCTGAAGGTGAAAGAGGCTAAGGAGTCTCTTGAAACCAGGGGGCTCAATGCGGGAAATGGTAGACACCCCTCCTCATCCTTTATTAGACACCCCTCATGAGTGTTGAGCTTATGGCTATTAAACGGGAGCGACTCCTCTGAAAATTGGTGTAGCCAAAAGGCAACTGAAAACTCACTGTTCCAAGGACTTAGTTCAAAGATAGTGTGAGATTATTATTTTTTTAAAAAAAATCTAAACTTTGTTTGAGAAAGCTAGACAGCCTGTGCATGGGTAAATAAGAATTCATTTAATTTATGGGTAAATAAGAATAAGACTAAACCACCCTTGAACTGCAGAGCTGGAAGGGATCCTATGGGTCATCAGGTCCAGCCCCTCTCGAGGAGGCCCAGTAGGGGAATTGAACCCCCAACCTCTGGCTCCACAGCCAGAGACCTAAGCCACTCAGTTATCCAGCAGTTCTATTATGGTGCTAGACATTACACAGGATGCTCATTGTGTGGCTTCCACCCTTCAAAATGAAGAGAGAAGCAATATAGCGATTTACACGCCACCAAAAGGTTCCTTTGGAAAATCAAGAAGGGGCAACGTGCCAGAGATCAAGAGTTATGTATCGGTTCATTCCGCCCACCTCCAACCCTGGTTCTGAGCCCTTGTTATGTGTGTCCATGCTTCTAACACGAGTGAAGCATGCTCTCCTCGCCTTGTACATGCACACAAAAGCTTGTGATTCTTCAGCCCATCCTATTCAATGTTCTTTGCTGGCTCCTTTGTCAGGGTTGACTTGAATGATGATAATATACAAAGGAAGTAGAGAAGAGGTGTTCCTATTGACCAACACTGCCACCTAGTGAGGAACACTCAACTTGGTTTGTCCGCTATAACTCAACCGAATATTGTCCTCTAGCCAGGAAGGAAAAGGTAGAAGGTTTTGTGCAAATAATTGACTGAAATGCTCTGGAACTATTCTCCATACTTAGTTATGGAAGAAAACTGCCTTACTGAGTTAGAGGAATCCACCTTCCATGGCATTCGGTTTATTATTGGTGGAGTGGTGCCAAGTTTTGTAGGTTGATGCTCCAGAACTTTCTGATGAGCTGAGATGATGTCAAGTACGGGGGTGCAAATCACATTGCATTCTTGCAGGTAAGAATCAAAAACATTTTCTCCCAGTGTGATGTGATCATGAGAATTTCTATGCCCCCCCCCCAATTTTGGTACAATTTTTTACCAAAAAAATCCTCATGGCTTTTGTGTGGGGAAAAAAGAGTGTGATGTGATCATGAGAATTTCTATGCTCCCCCTCCACCATTTTGGTACAATTTTTTACAAAAAAAGTCCCCAGCCTCATGTATTTTTGAGTAAAATAACTTGTGTTTTCTGTAGAAAACCGATAGTTTGCACTATTCCAAATTTACCGAAATTCAAGAAACGCCATCCTCTTGAAGAGCGAATGAATAGGATGTCGAGACAAAACTTTCTGTGGTAGGAACGAAGGCACGGGTGAAGTCCACTGCAAGAAGAGGAGCAAACTTCGTCCCACCTATTACATTTATGGGAGAGAAATAATGGCAGATAGAAATGAAATACAAGAAGATTCAATAGGCTTTATCTACAGGTTGCATTGATCGCTTACTGGGTAGTATTTGTAATGTGCAACAATACGTTCCGTTGCACAAACACCATATATTTATTCCAAAGAACAGATAAATCTGGGATGTAGTTTCCTCTGCTCCTATTCTGCCCATGGTCACCCCACTCCAAGGTAGCAGAAAAGTGAAAACTTCCTCAGTTACCATAGGATATCTATATTTCCTAAATAATACATATATAAATGGCTGCAATTTCCTGGCACTTTGGAGCCTGAGTGAGTCTGGAGTGCCCTTGACCCAATGAGCTAAATGGATCTTGCTGGGGGGGGGCGTTAATTGATTTAAGAATGTCTAAGCTTGGACATAGCTCAGAAAATGTTTCTGCAGAGTTTTGATTCTCTTGAGCGCTTTCAACTTGAGCCATCATCAAGCAGTGCCCTTTCCTAGTTGTGGTACAAATTCAAATCCTCCCCCTCTCTCTCCCTCCCTCCCTCCCTCTCTCTCTCTCTCTCTCTCTCTCTCTCTCTCGGGTCCTTCTCTGAACAAAACTGCTAGAATTAGAAAAAATAAAATAAACATGTTGCCTTGGGACGAATCCCGGCTGGAGAAACAAGCTCATGTTTTATTAAGCCATCCTCACAGGGCGATCCGATGAATAATGGATGGCGAGTGCAGCCGTTGGGTTGAGCAGAAAGGAGCTTAACCACTTTTGCCAGCTGTGTTTACAAAGGTCTGTGACTCACCTTTGTCGGTACCCCTAAACATATTAATAACGGTGCATAGGAGCGAGGGATGAGTGAGAACGAAGGGGCCACGCTCCATCGGAACCCCCCTCATGTTTCTACCAACAGGGGTGGGAGATGAAGCTTCAGATGAAGAATACGGAAGAGATGCCGGACATATTCTTGTGCAACTAATGCAATGAAGCCAGGTTCATTGTGCAAGGTTAAATTGCCTCTTGATTTTCAAGGACCCGTTAATTAGATTTCCATCTTGCCTCTTACTCACTGAGCTTGAGTGACATCCTTGGCTTTCCTTCCCCTTTTTCTTCCTCCTAACAACCCTGCGAGGTAGTTAAGGCCAAGAAAAGAGAGAATGGCCCAAGGCACTTTCCTGGCTAGGTGGGACTAAGAACCTCAGTCTACTAAATCTCAGTCCAACATCCGAACGACAGTGGTCATGTGCTAAAAGAATGTAGCATTCCCTTCTTGTTCATGGTGTGGTCCAGGCCCCACTGTCCTCTTCAGCGTCCCGTGAGGAATCCAACATTTTTCAACAGAATGATGCAAAGTGGCCCCTTTGAGGTCTTGAGTGGATGATGGCTCCCATCCCCTATAATGACCACTGCCAATGGTGAATGATGGATGTGACATGAGTGTGATTGTCACATGGAGCTACCTGTGTGTGTACTTTTGAGATAGATCGCTATACATTACAGCTTTCATTGAATTTTTAGTACAACTTGGTGTTTTTTTTCCATATTGGTGTTTTCCACTTCTTCAAAAGTAGGAATTTGTTAAAAAAATTATTTTATTTATTTATTTTATATCCCGCCTATCTGGTCGGTTAAGACCACTCTAGGCGGCTAACAACATAAAATAACACAATAAATATATATATAAACAATTTTTTTTCATAGTGGAAACATTTAAACAAGATGAGAGCAAACAATAGTATACTGTAATATTGCCCACTAACGTTATAAGACACCTGTTTATATTCACTGCTCTTAGTGTTAAATATTGTCTTTTAATGATGGGAACCACCATGGTATACTCGCTGTTTTCAACTTTAAATATTGTGTTTCAATGGTGTAAGCCCCCTGGGTCCTGTTAAAGGAGACAGGTGGGGTACAGCTAACTCACTAACTAACTAACTAACTAACTAACTAACTAACTAACTAACTAACTAACTAACTAAATAAATAAATGGATGGATGGATGGATGGATGGATGGATGGATGGATGGATGGATGGATGGATGGATGGATGGATGGATGGATGGATGGATGGGCCTGGCTGCCCCAGAGAGTACTTTAACGTGGGGCAGTATATAAGCAGCACACTTTGCTTTTTTTCCATTTTTTGCTTTGCTGGGGTGAGAGGTGGTGTATTTCTAGTCAAAAGCATAGCAGCTGTTTCCGTACATACATCTTATACCTCGAAGTTAGTGTGTGAAACTGTGACTTCTTGTATCCTTATCCTTCAATGCACAACAGACTATCCTGCTCTGACAATTTAGTCAGTATCCTGGATGTTTTAAGGGGAGGGAAAAAAGTAAAAAAGAACAAATTGAAAATTCATCTAAAACCTGGGTAACTATAACTTGGTTGCAGTCACTTCTAACATATACTGTTTATTAACTTCCTTATGCAGTGACCTCTACTACCAAAAAGAATATAAAAAAAGATGGGAAATGAGTATGCCATAACTCTTCAACTGAAAAATGAAAAAACTATCATAGAAGCTAGTAATTTTTCTTTCTTTCTTTCTTTCTTTCTTTCTTCTTTTCTTTCTTTCTTTCTTTCTTTCTTTCTTTCCCAGTAAATATCACGCCCCCGCCAATCCAGTTTATCCCAAAGCAATTCCAGGAGGGCTCAAGAGAACGCTCTCCTTTCTGGTATCTTGGCTGCAGAGTTTAAAAAAGAAAAACAACACAGGACGGTGTTTAATCCTTTCAACAGATGTGTCCCAGTCAGCTTGCTTCCAGCTGTTTTTCTTCTTCTTAGCATTCCCATGTGACTCGTGATCAAATATTTGCGAGCTGGAATTCGAGAGAGCAAAGAGGGAGCAATGGAAATGAACTATGAGGAACCTCTTCCCCCGCCGTTGAACCGTTGGTACAGTCCAAAGAGTTTAAGAAGTCAGGAGTTGGCTGTTTGCAGTTGTGATTTGGGACTTCCTGTGTGTATGTTTGCCTGACAGCTCAGAAATCCATGGTGAAAAGTGTTTAGTCCAGGTAAGTCTCAAGAGTTGATATATAATGATTACTATGTAGGGGATCCCTTGATCTAAAACTCACCCGTCCAAAATTAGCAGTTGCTGAACCACGCTAAGCCTGTCCGGCATCCCAGCTGGTTATGTTTTAGCAGGAGCCCCAAAAAATAAAAGGGTAAATTGAAGCACACGAACAGCTATGGATTAAGGCCCCGTGCGAAACTGCAGCTTGTGCCTTCTGCAAAAGAAAGCTTGTTCGCATGTTTTCCTGCTGTCTGGGAAATGTTTGCATCAAATCTAGTTGTTGTTGTTGTTGGTTTTTGCTGGCAGAAATAGAAATAGGCACACGTGTTACCGGAAAGTGGGACACTGTTTCAAGAAACGTATAGACCCAGCCAGCTGCAAAGATTATGAGCACAGAAATAAGCTTCATTTGGGACCTCCTGAAAATTAGGATGATCACATTTATCTTATCCACAACCCTGTTCTGCGTTTGGGCAACCAGGGAGAGCAGAATCTGTGTTCTTCATGCAGAACTGGCCCCAACCTATCATGGCTCCCCATTAGTCACCTTTGAGGGATATCTTATCTGTATTTCTAGCGTAAATTGCTAGAATGGTCATTCCCGGTGGTTCATCTCCCTTCTATGAAGTGTCTCTGGCCAAATGTCCAGCTTCTAAAGGCTTGTGATCTGTTTTATGTTGTACTAGAAGCCGCAGAAACACTGTTTTCTCTTAAATGTCCAGCTATAGGGTGACATTAAAAGGCTGGGATTTATTGAGAAAATAGTTACTTAGAGTGAAAAGTACTCATGTCTGAAATAACTCGAGTTTATTAACTGGTGGAGTCAAGCACCAGCATGGAAGAATTCTCAGGGTTGTAAAAAGTTGTCGGCAGAGTCAACAAGGCAGTGTTTCAGTTGCTAAAACAGCATCTTTCCACCCACAGTTATGTACAGTTTAATAGGCTTGTTTGATGGTGCAATTCAAAAATAAATTGTCATCATGTGAGAATCTAGACAACTTGAAGCACATAGATGCTTTGAACACAGGCTAGGAAAAGCAACAGTATGAAAAAATATAATTAAAGCTACAGTTGGGCATGTCCTTTCTGGGAAGCCTTGTTGAAAATGGCAAACCCTACCTCTGAGTAAACGTGTTTTGGATGGCATCGTCCGGTTCTGGGGTACAAAATATGGAGGGCTTCATTCAAAGTCTTGTATATTCAGCTCTACTGGGGGCAATAAACTGGAGTTACCACTTCTCTCTCTCTCTCTCTCTCTCTCTATCTATCTATCTATCTATCTATCTATCTATCTATCTATCTATCTATCTATCTATCTATCTATCTATCTATCTATCTATCTATCTATCTATCTATCTATCTCCCTCCCCCCCATTCAGAAGTAGTTTATTATTCCCTCTTTCCAAGGGTGCTCTGGAGTTGTACAGCTTGCCCAAGGCTGCACAGTTGATGGGGCACATAATGCTGTGGATGATCTTGGTGAGCCCCACTCTTGAAGGATGGTAGGAAGTCATAGTCACGACTGGATTTCTGCTCACTCCAACCCACTGAGATATACCACCATAGCATGGCACCAAATTTAACTGGGTGAGAGGTGGAGCACAGTCCTCTTCCCAATGGCTCCTACTCTCTCACATGCCTTCAAAGAGAGAACCAAACAAAAGTTGATTGAAATCGTTTGTGTGTTCTGTGCTGTTAAGTCCGAACCGACTTCTACCGAACCTCATAGGGCTTTCAAGGTAAGTGAGATATTTAAGGAGTTGCTTGACCAGTTCTACTTCCCCCAGTGAGTTTCCCCAGCTAAACTGATCCAAACTCTATTCTCTCCAGAGTCCACTCTACCCATTATGTACACCACACTGGGAATTCCGTTTTATTAAAATTAAGGGATCAAAATACATTTTAGAGAGAAACCCTTAAGATTCAGGGCACTATATTAGACCTTATTGAACAGCAGCTACAACGAATCTGTCCGGGCAGGAACGAATAAGCTTTCATTCCATTTTATTTTTGCAAGACTTTATCAGTCCTCACATATTTCTTCATATCGGGGATGAAAGCAACTCTAAAAAGAATCGAGCAAAATCAGAATGGACAGACTCTCAAATGTCCATCTGCCTATTTACTTGAGGTTAAGATTGCATCATTTTCTCTTCTGTTGACCTTCATTTCTGTCTTTCCGTTTCTTACAGGTGTCTCTTTTTTTAAAATGCATATATGTAGATAGTACGACACACACTAAAATATGTCCAGTATGGGTTGAATTCGGCTGTTGTGAAAAGATAATTTTGTAATTGTTTGTTTTTGGAGAATTGCTCAGAAATTCCTTCGAAACATCGAGAAGGTGAAAAATTTAGATGTGGGAGATAGTCAGACAGATAGCTCTCCTCCATCTTTACTGGGAGAAATAGTGGATTTCCTCACAAGGAAGGCAACGAGGGCAGAAACCATATACCTTTAATCACATAGATCTTTATTACTGTGCAGGCCATCATCTCTGTTTCACCTCCCTTCCTATTTTAATTAGCAATCCATCATTTGAGATCAGTCCTAGGCTGGTTCATCGTGAGCTGATTGGGGATAAAAGAGCTTCCACTGAACCATTTGTCTTCATTTTCTTAGGGCAGGGCAGCATGGCTCCCACTTCAGCAGTGAGGCGCTTCAAAAATCAAAATTATCATGATCTGAAGAAACAGTGCCTTGAACGAAGGCAGCTTTTTGAAGACCCTGAATTTCCAGCTTCCGACTCATCTCTGGTCTACAGCAGTCCTCCCCTGGGAAAAATAGAATGGAGACGCCCAAAGGTATTTACCACTGTACAGATTCTACTGCAGCTACCAAAATCCTTGCCCTCTGACCAAGCTGGGAATAGAAATTCAAAACAACTAGAGCAGTGGTCCCCAACCTTGAGTAACCTGGACATTCTTGGACTACAACTCCCAGAAATCTGGGCCAGCACAGCTAGTGGCGAAGGCTTCTGGGAGTTGTAGTCCAAGAACATCTAGGGACTCATTTCACGAAAGCATATATGTGTGGTAGTTGGGGTGTATAGTTTTAGAATTCTACAAATCATAGGATCCGAATCTACTCGAATCATCTACATTTTGTCTAAATGTTGATTCTACTAGGATTTTAACTGATGTGAGACATGTTTATGTCCTCATTCAATGCTGTTCAGGATAATGGTCAGAGTGATATAATTTCCACCCTGTAGATTCCCTTCTTACGTGATGTCTGGGGGCTCCATTCCAGCCTAACAATTCTAATCCTTCTATCAACCACACAGTCTTGAATTATCTGCATTTTGTCTAGACGTTGATTTAGCTAGGATTTTACCGGTTTGATCCGTGATGGGTTTATATCCTTATTCAGCTCTGTTGTAGATGATGGGCAAAACTACATGATAAGCTTTCTTACGGCATAGGCAACAGCAACAATCATCAGGTATAAAAATTAGGAAAACATGATTAACAATGTCTGCATCTATTTTCTTCTCCCACATGCATCCTGACACTATTTCAGCTCATTTCTTGTTCCCGACGTCTCCTCTGTTCTATCTCCCACTGCTTTCAAACTTTGATTGAATGATAAAAGAATTGAAATTTCCCTCTGAAATTGGACATGGATGATTTGACTTCCTTTGGTTAATCTGTTATCTCCATCTTCGGCTAGGCACACCGTCTACTTTTGCAAAACTCGGGGTAAAAGCAATCTCGATAAAATCATTCACGTTTTATCGTTATCCACATACACCCTTGCACATTGTTAGAAAGTTGGGTAGAAATCAGTTTTAAGAATTGATACGATCGTCCGTGTGTTGATGAAAAGGTTTCATTTGGCTTTCTGTTGTACTTGGACTTTGAAAAGCCGGGGGGAACTGAAAGTTCTGCATCTCTAGAAAGTTGTAAAAAAAACATAGACAAGTCACTTTTTAAAAAAACATGGTCCTTGGGAACACCTTGTGGGTAGTCCTCTAGAGGAGGGGGCAGGATCTGTTCTCGATAGTCCCGGAGTGCAGGACACGTAATAATGGGCTCAAGCAACAGGAAGCCAGATTTAGACTGAATATCAGAAAGAAAAAAAACTCCTTAAGTGTTAGAGCAGTACGACAATGGAGCCTAAAGTCACTTTTTAAAAAAACATGGTCCTTGGGAACACCTTGTGGGTAGTCCTCTAGAGGAGGGGGCAGGATCTGTTCTCGATAGTCCCGGAGTGCAGGACACGTAATAATGGGCTCAAGCAACAGGAAGCCAGATTTAGACTGAATATCAGAAAGAAAAAAAACTCCTTAAGTGTTAGAGCAGTACGACAATGGAGCCCATGACCTCAGGTGGTGAGGAGTGCTCCAGTGCTAGGGCCATTCAAGAGGAAATTGGACCACAATATTTCAGATCTACTTTGATTTGTATTCCTGCATTGAGCAGGAGGCCTCAGTGGCCTCAAATAGGGTCCTTCCAACTTCATTATTATACGATTCTATGATAGACATTTTGTTGACTATCAAAATCAAGGCAGATGATTTATTTTATTTTAATTTTTCTGTTCCTGTCTCCCCGTTGGGCCCCCAACAGCGAGACTACACAGGGATTTGATCTGGCCTGGTACAGCCCTTAAACGATTTGTTTTACTTATTATATTATTATTCTGCCTCTCTTGTAAGGAGATCAAGGCGGAGCCCTTGTGTCTCCATTTCCTTACTTCATCTTCACAAGCTTTGTACAAAGAAGCTCAAGCTGAAATCAAGTGTCTGGCCCAAGATCGCCAAGAGGAGTTTTCACAGGGGAATGGGCTTGGCATCCAAGCGTCCTGAGTTCTAGTCTGACAGCCTGACAGGAACCAAAACCCCTCCCTGAATTACTGTCACCACAGTCCTGTTAGGTGGGCCAAACAAAGAGGGAAGGATGGATCCAAGACCACCCAGTGATTTTCATGATCCACTGCAGACATGAATCTGCATCTCCTAAATCCCAGCCCAATGGCATTGGGCCGTCTTGGCTCTTGCGGAATCAAAAAAAAATCTACCTCATAAGGCTTCCACATTCAATGACATTGGGCCACGTCAATGGCTTATGTGTAAATTCTCATGCTAGCTGCAGAACTCTCTAGTCTTTTGAGAGAGATGGAATCTGATTCTCAAAGAGGGGGCCCAGGAGAAATAAGACTGTAAATGATTGTTTGACTCTAATTAGTAGAAAGCTTACGAGCTCTCTCTCAGGGTGCAGGATGAATCGGCAAGCCTTGTTGAAAAAAGGCTATGAACCCAGTCTCCGTCGATGACACGATTAAATACTGGAAGAGGTTACAGGGGCGCTTTTTTTTGCTGGATTACAGGATTTGGGCAGGGTGGGGGAATCATCATCCTTCATCACTCTGAGCTGTTGATCATTGCTTTCTTAGAATGGGTCGAGGGAGGCCCCATTACACGAGACTACTCGGTGGTTCTTGCCTAGAGAGAAAGGTGTTAAAGTTGTGAAGCTCGAAATAAAACAGACAGATCGGCGTATCTTCCAGAGATGCAGAGGGTGCATACTAAGGCAGGCGGTTGCCATGGGTTGCCATGGAAACTGGCAGTAGCAAGGCCCGGGATATGGGGTTGTAGCGCAGCCAAAGTGTCACCCGTTTGTAAATATGGATGTGTGTATAATTATTGACTGAACGAAGGGAAAACAAAAAGCTTGGACAAAAATCAGGGCATGGCTCTGTTCGTCTTGAAAAAAATAAATAGATAAAAGGAAGAATGAATGCAAGGTTTCCTGCCGCCAGACTTCATTCCTGTATCTCTGCGTGATTAACTGTTCTGACTTCACCTCCTTCCAATGTGCTTCGATTGGGGTCGGCCGGTCCTGTTGCATCGATGCCTCAGATATGATTTGCATATACCATTTTAAAATGATTTGCATATATCATTTTTAGTAAACACAGGCTGTTTGGAACACAGTGAGATGGCCAATTAGGGGTTCCCTAACCTCCACGTAAATCGTTGCCACTGGTGCCAAAACACAATCGTAAGTGATCTGCAGTGGAGGGGGTGCTTCTCTGCATGTGTGTTCCACATTTTTCCACAAAATATCTCAGAGCAAACTTCATGTTCTTTCCCTTGCAAAGCTCAACATGCAAATGCATGCACAGCAAGAATAAAAGGATGGGCTGGCTGATCTCAACAGACACAAGCAACCCATTCGGTGCTACAACTTCTCTTGGTGCTTGCACAAAGGTGGCCCCTGCCATGTTTTTTGATAATGCACATTTTACAGGAATGTGCAAAAAGCAGTCTTGAAAATGCAGAAGAAACTGTTCAAGACCAACACACACACACACACACACACACACACACACACAGAGAGAGAGAGAGAGAGAGAGAGAGAGAGAGAGAGAGAGAGAGAGAGAGAAACTGCATTTCCTCATTGGCCACATGACAGACCACGCCATTAACATCTCCAGTTGCACAAAATGTACAGTACTTGATCTTTGCTTTGTGTTGTAGTGGAATGAGGACATGCAGGGCTGTGGCACCAAGGTGCTTTAATTACTATTGTGATGACATGATCTGCCACCCCTTCGTTAAGTTTCATTGTTGTTCTGAGCTTAGCAGAATCCTCGGAACAGTTGTCAGGAAGGGAAATGTTCTGATACATGATTGTTCGGGGAGGGTTGGTGGGCAATTAAGACCCATTTGCTTTGCAAAAGACCTGCTTTTGGTAGAGATACAGACTGCTAAAACTCGATACAGTGGCTTGAATCCTTGAATTCTTTGTGTAGCTATCGCTTCAGGTACCATCATGATGATGACCTTAGTTCATAGTGGACCACTTAGACCATTTTCAGGTAAGAACTGTCACATCCAGCCCTCATTATTAGCCATAAAATGGGTGTTCAGCAAGGGGCCAATATCACAAACTAAGAATGCAAATACATTTCAATTTTGCCCAGTAGGTCCAACTCTTGTACCCTTGTGGTACGACATCACAACATTAGCCACTTCAGACTTAGTGGACTGTGTCAATTATTTTGATGTCCAGATGACATAATAACGTGAAAGATCCAGTTTTATGACAAGTTGGAAAATATTGCCTTCCTTTTGTCTTGGACGGTGTGTTCTCCGTCTGAAACTATTCTGCTTGGATAGGATCCCATGTCTAGATGGGGTGTGAGTAGCCAGTTTCCTGACCCATGGACAGAATCCCACCCAAATGGCCAAATAAACATACACGTCTACTTTTAGTTAGTTAATTCTTTTTGGCGGTTTCTTGAATCCCATCTGAAGGGTGTTGGCCAGCCCCAGCCAAGATTTTGCTCTCTGGAGAAAGCTTTCAGCTGACCAGCTCTTGTCTACAATAATGAATAATTGTTATTTATTTTTAAATTGCAGTTTTGGCTTCTCTGTGCAGGCCACCATTGATGTCAGCTGTTGAGCAACACCCTTTATCTAGTGATAAGCAAAGTCTAACTATCTTGATTTTGCATGGGCTTGATCTTTGCCAGGAGAAAGCAAACGCTTTCCCCAGAGTTCCTCCAAACTCTGAAAGCTTTCAGTAATTACTACTGGACGCTAAAGCACCGGAGAATATATAATAAGTTTAGCTTAAAAAATGGGTGGGCAATGTGGGTTTTGGCATTTTGTCCCATCTGCTCTTTTCTAGATCTACATGCAGTGTGGGCTTCCTTCCCCCTCCTCTCTATAAGGCCACTTCCTGTGTCTCTGCAACCGTATATTTGGTGTCTTCTCCTGCATTATCTCTGAACAGATTTCCTGATGAAATAAACAACTTTCCTGTTTTAACCTAATTGCATGTTTCCAGAGCCA